TCTGGTTATTTCTGGGTTTGTAGAGTTCCTTACTATTATGTAAACACTTGGCTTCCTTTATCATTGAATACGTTCAGGACACAGAAAGAACTAAATAAATGCCTTGTTATCTGCATTCTTAAGCTACAGAAACTTCTGCAGCTTCACCATCAGAGACATGTACATGGACAAAGATGTCTGAAAGCTCATCACTTTCAAATATTTATTCTTGCAACTCTATGTTGCAGTGGCATCTAGAATGGCTCTGCAGGTGGGCACCTCATCAGAGAATAATTACTCCTCACTCCACAACAGCTTTGGCTGAGAGAGCTGGACTTAATTGCAAACTGAAAAGGAAAGCTGCATGCTATGCACTTAAGCACCACTTTGCACTGTAGGTATCATAAGAAACAGAAAGTCATCTAATGTTGATATCGAGCAGCAAGGAGATCTCTGCTCTTCCCTCTCTCACTTACCTTCTGCTCCTGAAAGCATCAAATAGGTTCAACCAAAATTAGACAAAAGCAGAGCAAGTCGTCTCTTCTAAACATGATACCCAGCAACACAAACAGTCCTTGAAACAGCCCAAACCAGTGATCAACCACAAGAGGTTTTCATCTTTCAAACTTTACTAACAGATTATGTCATTATCTCCCTCCCCCCACCTTTTGACCCCATTACTTCCTGAGATTAATTTTTTTTTTTTTCATGGTTTCAAACCACTTTTGATGCTTCAAATCTAGCATCAAACATATTTGCCGACTATATGTACACAGTGCGCATGTGGGTGAGTTAAGAAGACTCTTAGGTATGAAGTTAGTTTGGGGATATTGCACACCCCGCTGATTATCAAGAACAATTTCCAAGGGAGGAGCTGCAGGGGTGTAGTGGGGGGGGAAGCCTTTAAAAAGCTGTCTGCCCCTGTGATTTTTCAGCTCTTTGAAAAAGCAAGAAAGAACAGAAAAGCACCCCTGGTGTGTGGTTAAGATAACTACAAAGGAGCTATTCTTACCAGGTTCCTTCAGTAAAATGAAGGGTGCTTTGATTGCATTTTTTGGCCTTGCTAATCTGACAGATATTGATGGATAATTTGGAACAGCCAAAATCTTTGTTCTAAAAACATTGACTCATACATGTTACATCCAGATGTTTTGCTGGGTTCTTAATGGATATCAAAGCTTTCTTCAAATACTTGGAAAGTGCATTTTATACAGTTAAGAGCGTGTGCATGTACGAGAGGGAAAAGATAGAGAGGAGCTCCATTAAGAACAGCTTAAAAAGGAGTATTTATGCCCCCCAACATGGAGACTCTAAAAACAAAACTCCCCAACACTTTGTTTCTGCCTAATCCAGTTTGAAAATTAATAGCACCCAGATCCTTAATGAGCAATTAGGGCCTTGCAGGCCGGTCTCTCCAACAGGTAGAGGAGCTTGTGTGTAAACGCTCAAGGGCTGCCTTTCCCACTGGCCTCTGCCTCATGGCCGGGTCAGCAGCAGCAGCCCAGCCTGATGGAATCAGCCAGCCCCCATCTGGTTGCCCAGGCAGAGACGTGCCCATGACTTCTGACAGCCGACCCTTCATCTCTTCCGGAGGTAAAGGGCTCCAGTGTCCCCCCACCTCCACTGGGATTCCAGAAAAAAAGAAATCTTTCATCTGAGAGCACGTGGGGGAGGCACCCCCACGCCATAAGTAGTTTTTATGAGTAGATCATGAATGAAAGGAAGCAATGCACGCACCGTGGCTCTCAGCAGCGTTCTTCTCCCTGGCAGCGCCCGAACCAGTGCCACTGGAGAGCAGTTGACCAGATAAGGCACATGGTTCTGAAAACAGAGCACCAACTCCACGTGGGAAATAAAGACATGCAGACAAATCAGACACAGAAGAACAAGAACAGAGGCAGCAGGTTGCAGCAGGGGTTTGGGAAATGCAATGCTGTGCAACTTGCAGAATTTCTAAGTCATTTGACACTGTTGCCCATCTGATTCTCACCAGCTTCTGATGGAAGAAGGTCTATGTACTGGCTGTTCTGCTTTGCAGCCACTGCTGGATAAACTCAGTGAGGAGGGTATTCATTCCTTTATAAGGTAAATAGGCAATCAGTAAATATACCGTTTCATCCCAAGATGAGCAATATTCTTCAACTTGATAAGCCTTTTAGTAGAGAACCCTCCTAACAGAAAAACAAACAAATTGCAATGCATATGAAATGTGACAAGTATCAAGCATTTCTGCTTGATTTCATCAGAATTTCTGATCTGCCAGAAGCCAGAGCTCAAGATCTGCTGCTGAAGGGTCTGGTGAGGTCGAGGTCACACCTCGAGTACTGTGTTCAGTTTTGGGCCCCTCACTACAAGACAGACATTGAGGTGTTGGAGTGTGTCTAGAGAAGGGCCACAAAGCTGGTGAGGGGTCTGGAGAACAAGTCTAATGAGGAGCGGCTGAGGGAACTGGGGTTGTTTAGTCTGAAGAAAAGGAGGCTCAGGGGAGACCTTATCGCTCTCTACAACTATGTGAAAGGAGGTTATAGTGAGGTGGGGGTTACTAACAAATGATAAGACAAGAGGAAAGGGCCTTAAGTTGCACCAGAGGAGGTTTAGATTGGATGTTAGGAAAAATTTATTCACAGGAAGGGTTGTCGAGCATTGGAACAGGCTGCCCAGGGACATGGTTGAGTCACCATCCCTGAAGATATTTAAAAGATATGTAGAGGTGGCACTTACAGACATGGTTTCGTGGTGGACTTGGCAGTGAAACAATTCTATGAATCTGTGCCGCTTTTCCTTCCCCAGCATGTCAGTGGAATCAGTCAGTCACTGACAGAAGCAGGTATTAGGTACTGCGACACAGAACAGGATCTCCTGGGCAAGAAGGATCAGGCCACTCCTCTGCAGCTGTTTGCAACTGTGTAAAGACTTTGCTAAACATTAAGGTCAGGAAACTTCCAAAGCCAGTTTTAGACAATTCACTGTTGAGAAAGCTACTCAGCCAAAATACTAACTGCTCTTCTAATTTAGACTAGACTGTCTGGACACAAAAAAAGGCATGAGCGTTACTAGTGCCAGCCATACCGTGGCTGGTAGTGGCCCAAAGCATATCTGGTGGTTGTTGGGTAAGGGTAATAGAGTACCAGCCTCACTCGCAGCTCAAAGACAGCCACAGGAACACTGTAACTGTGATCTCAACACACAAGAGTCTATACGGCAACTTACATGAAAATTAAATTCCCCCTTAAACCTCAGAAATGTTTTCCACATTATGTAGAACATAATCATGCAGTTTCACAGGACTTATTTTTCTTTCATTGCTTTTGGGAATCCAAATACTGAAGCACAAGCCTCCTTCCCGCACCATGGATTCCCACCCCCCAAAAGGTTCATGATACGCCAAAGAACAGCTAGTCTACCCTCAGCACCTACTGTCAGCAGCCGCACAGAGCTTTAAAGCAGCCTTTCCTCCTGAGACTGGGCTCACACAGGTGGGAATGCAAAATCCAGCAGTGTCTTCATTAACCATGTGAAGAGCAGCACAGGAACAGAGGTCCCTCCGGGCTGATGAGCCAGCAGAGCTGAAGTTCTCCGGAGTCATTCAGAGAACTTTCAATCATTTACATAAAAGCAAAGATGACAGCTGTGCTTGTAAAGACAGATTTTGAAAAAAGGAACTACTAGAAAAACATACTCTTTAAAAGACCTTTATTTTGGTTGCACGGTTACAATTCTGAAGTCCATTTAAGCTTACAGTTAGATTGTTCCCAAATAATACTTCATAGCTCACCATGTAAACAGTGCATTCTCTATCAGTCTAGTGTACAAGAACTTTATAAAATACAAATTAAGTGACTTTTCCATCTGTACACTTTTCAGATTAGTTCACCAAGATCAATTAAAAAGGCAAATAGATTAATTGGCAAAAAAAGTGTTGTTACATTTTTAATATATTAGTACAAAATGGCACAAAAGGAAAAAAGGTCATTTTAAAGGCTATAAGCATCAAATGTCTTAAACAGTTTGAATCAGTTCAACCGATTTCAAATTGATTTCAGATACCACTGTTGAACTTGGAATTTAGCTTGTAATCTTCTTTTATTCAGCTGTACGAAAGACCTCACATACAACTTTGGATCTGTTCATGGAAACCGAATCACAGCAGTTTCAGAACAGTGACATTCAAGTGCAGTTAGGAGGTTGGGAATTTGTACTTTTCCCAGTAAGTCTAAGAATTCACAGACTAGAGCTTATTTTCATCTAGCCAAGCTCATTGATGCACACTTCAGATGCAAAGATACCAGACATGTGCACATAAAATACAGTATTTCTTAATGCAAGAACTGAATCAAAAAAATCCACATAATTACATCATCCACCCTATATACCTTTGCAGGAGGCTTCCAGGCATAACCGTACTCAATGCCAGATACAAAGATATATGAAGCATTAAAAGATTTCAGGCAAACTGAAGGCTTAATTCAAAGGCTTCAGTTATAAAAGAGAGATCACACCAACTTCAGCAACCCACATTTTCTTTTTGAAACACCCATATCAAATGGGCGGG